AGAAAAATTAAAACATGCAAAAGCTGTACAACAGCTGACTAAACATTTTATCGTTTATAAAAAACAAACGAACAGAATAGTCCGGACACATTTAGAGAGCGGATGAACAATTAATAAAAGACAAAGTGATTAACAAATAAATAAATAAAAAAAGACAATTAGAAAGGCCTAAGACCTGCTGGATGGATTTTGTTGTTCAAGTTATAGGAAATATAAAAGAGAACATGATATTTAACGTACCATACGACAGAAAGAGATGAAGAAAATTCGCGATGGTAGTAATGATTCTCAAAGTACTGACAAATTGAAGAAGAAAAAGAGAAAACAAAACTAGCAATCTCTTGCCAATTTCGAAAACATTTCTGAATGGGATATGGTACATTAAGGAGGTCATTTTTTGATTTTTGCAGAAGTTTTCCCAATAAATGAAAAAAATTAGATTAGTTTTAACTTATAAAACTTCGTTCGTAAGATGCTAAACTGCTGAAGTAACAGGGAAAGTTAAAAATATTTGATATGCTATCGAAATATTAGGATAGGTATCTTGTAAATTATTTTTAGAAATAAAGTTTAAGATTTAAAAATAATTTCCATATCTTAATGAGTTGTCTAATACAAAAATATGTTGTTTAAAACTTTCAAATTCGTATATAAATTTAATTTAATTTAAGTCTTTTTCATACTTATTACATAAGTCAATTGAATGTTTTTTTGGATCATTTAAAGGTGTTTTAAACAACATTTTTACCATCTAAAATGAAAATGTAGATACAATATTTTGCACAGGCTCAAAATCGTCTCTTAATCTCGATAAAATATTATCTATAACAGATTTTATTAAAATGTTAAATTTTTATTTTTCACTTAAAGTTGTTATTTTATCTTTAAATTTAAGCTATCTTACCAGCCAATTTCTTTTTCTTACAAAGTCGACTGATATTAAACTCGTTTATAATACCTAACATTTCAGTTTTTCTTTCTGATTCAATCAATATTTCATCAATTCCATCTCCACTAAATTTTTCAAAAAATTTTATTAAGCTATGTAAATGTACAATAGTATATATCAATCGTTATTTTTAAACTTTGCAATATTATGTTTACTCGATCTATTGCACTAAGCGTTTAAAATATTATTAGTGTATATTTTATTATTTTATTACATTTAATTTATTGCTTTTAACAAGTTTTTAACATCAAATCATCAGATAATGCTTCTTGATTTAATAAACTAAACACTTTAATGATAATAGATAGTTGTAATTTTAATGCTCTGACTGCATTCTGATTTAAAGACCCCTTTGTAAAAGTACTGTAAAAGTGTAACCCTTTAAAGATAAATGAAGGTTATCTAATAAAATATTCCATCTTTGGGTGGAACTAGAAAAAAAAAACAATTTTTTTATACGATTCCAAAAAAATGTTTCTGTGAATTAATAAAAACTGTTAATAAATCCATTTATTATTTGGTAATTTGGCGCCTCTTGACCAAGACTTCCGGGGCAAGTTCCCCGGTTAGCCCCCCCTAGATCCAGCCCTGGTTGCTATGTTCACGTGAAAGAAAAATGTCCATTCGATTGTGAACCAATTTCGCGAACTTAATCCATGTTTATATACTTTCGATTTAGGTCTAAACCGTTTAAATAATAAAATATATTAAGTCGGAACAGAATATTATATAACATTTTTTAAATAAACCAATTTTGTTTTCAATAGTCATATTTTAATATAAAAACTACGAATTCCATACATTTTTTTTCAGATGTTTTATACATTTTAATACATTAAACAAGATGATCGGTTGCTGTGAAATGTTAAAAACGTTTGAGATAAATTAAATTTAACAAAGAAACGTAAACAAATTTACCACGTATTTTATTTACGACGGCTGACGAGAATGAATAGAGCTAAACGATAGTAAAATATATTGTCAAGGGAATCTCGTTAGTATAGGACAAAGACGCGAACAGGGACAAATGGATACGTATAGTCATCATTAAGATACGGTCTTTTGAAGGCCAGAAAAATAAAAAATTACGTAGCTGAGTTTCTTTTGTTAATCCAATAACACGTTCATTAATTACAGACGATGTTCACAACCGCTCTTTTTTTCCAAACAATTAAACATTTGCCTCTGCAATATTAGTCCTGCAGCGGAATCTAAGCCGTCTTTAACATGTCAGTCCACATGTACGGACTTTAGGTTTACTCCCGATTTGATATGTGTATCTTTTTTTCTAAATGACATTGAAAAACATCCGACAAACACATAAATTCACTTTTTAACAATTAGGTGTATACATTACAAGAATCGTCAAAATCCAAAATATTTCTGCGTTCACGTCAATAATGTCTGAGCACCGAATGGGCTACGGCAATGTCATTCCGATGACTGCTCTATGAAATGATGTTTGACACTTCATTATTATATAAATACTCCAAGTTCAGTTTTCAGAGACGAAAATCAATGTTATGGATTTATTTGGCTTTTGTTTTCTTTAAGAGTCAGCATACAACAATATTAATTATTTCATTTCTACTCGGGACGTTTTAAGTATTAGTAGATAATACATATTGTATTGATATTTTCTAAAACGGTTTGAAAGACTGACATTATAATAAACACACATTTTCGTTTTAAATTGAACGTTACATATTAACTGAACCTAACCTAACTTAGCATTTTAGTTGTCTGAAAAAAAAAACCAATGCACCCGTTCGTCTTATATTCTTGGAAAGCGTGGTTTTATATAAAATCTATTTCTGATAAGATTATTCAAAAATTATTATAAAGACATTATCAAAATCTTTAAATAAAACAAATATTGTTCTTTTTTTTGAATAGTTATTTCAGGTTATATTAGTACGATTTATTTTAATGTAATATATATTTTTTAATGCAAATGGTATCAACTTAAATATTTTAAGATCAAGACGGAAGATGAGTTAACGCCGTTTATCAAACCGGATGATTAAAAACTTTTTAAGTATACCATACCTATCATAATAATAATATCGTATTTAATAACTAGTTTAATATGCGATACAAATAAACTATGCAGGGTTTTTAATTTAAAAGTTTTTCTTTGAAATTCAATCCAGACAGTTTATATACTTGATATTAAAATTGTTAATTAATTCGAATAACTATTAATATAATATAATATAATACATATACCAAAAGATGACATTTTTTTTTTTTTTAAATAGTATTTATAATATATACGATATACCAATATAAAGTAATAAAAGATTAACAATATTTTCCTAATATTATAACACGTGCTGAATGGTTCGCCACAAACAACTATTTATGAAAAGCTTTTTTTATCATAGTAGCACGAAAATATAGGCAAGCAAAAGATGGCTGGAATGTGGTTGGGTAACATCTGAAATCTGCAGAGGATAGGAAAAATTGTGATCGTCAAAGAATATACGCCATTGATAAAGGTCGATTTGTATTATTATAAAAATCTGTCAATAACATATAATATAATAAATACCAAACCGATAAATTGATATTATGACAACGACAATCGGTAGGTGTATCGTACAAAAGGCTTACAGAAGCACTTATTTTATTTCGTTACAATATATTATTGCGTACATAGTGCTGGTATTCAGCGTGAAATAACGAGTATGATATGATCTATCGTTCGTTGGTAATTTTTTTCTGTACCAAGATCGATAAATCAAAAATTATTGAAACGAACGTCGAAAACGAAAAACATATCTGAAGAATCATTATTTATTTTCGATTCGAAATGTTTTAGTATTTGAGGGTTCAGTCGTTTAGTTGCGCAATAGAATTAAAGTAATAACTATGGTAGGGATTAGGTGTGACTATCGTAGAAAAGGGAAGTGACAAAAATCTTGTATGATAGAAATACATCATTAAGGATAAAAAGGAAATTGTATAAAACTGCTGTGAAAATTTGAGTGTTGGGCATTGAATAAAATACATAAAATATAAATGGACCTATAGGTAGCAGAATTGAGAATTTTAAAATGGGCGAGTGAGGATGTGCAGGAGTAAATGAGAAAATAGTGATAGAAATGTGGAATGAGAAGGTAAGGAGTAAATGATTCCATTAGCTCGGAATTATTTTCTAAAAAATAATAATAATTCACTCAACGTTTCAGTTTTGGCTGGCTAAGAAAACATGTATTTTTCACATAATATTATGTGTGTAATATGGTGTATATACTGTGCATGTTCTGACGTATAAGTTTAATAAATATATCATGCTGGTACATAAATATATTTGTTTTGTTCCGTTGCAGTGATTATGATATTAATAATAGGAGTTTTAATTAAATTTAATTATTCACGTTCACGGATCCTTAAAATTTACGGAGCGTCCCAAAAGATTACCTTTGTTAATCCAAGCGATTTTCGTAATATTACATTGAGCTGGGCGTATGTACCTATAATTTAATAATATTATGTATCTGCAGTGTATGTATATGAATTCAATGTTGGTGACACCGCACAAATAACTACCTACATGATAATATTATACTGTACCTACCTATGCATTAATTCAAACATCTTTATATGATGAACGAAAATAAATTGTTGTTAAAAATACTTCAAAAATGTTTGTCCGTTATATACCACGATTGAGTGAATGAGATACGTTACTACAATGTAGACAACGAGGTTTTCTGTTCAAAGTGTGTTCACGGATCGGGCGTAATGTATTTTTTTTTTTTTTTTTAATAAAAAGGTGAAATAACAACCTAATAAGGTGTATTTTCACAACTCTATAAGTTATGGCACTAGTTTATAAACAGCCCGGCATACAAAATTGGCTCTTTTAACTTGTGTAATGTATAAACCAACCCCCACTGGCTGAGGGAAAAACCTATAAATTACAGGATCTATAATACCGTTTAGGTAGTAATCAACCTCAAATAATCTAACCCATCTTAACTTAATAAACTTGATATCGTTGCTCAGGTGCTCGTTCGGCCCAACTGGCCCGTGCGGCGGTACTATGGCGGGGAAAATCATACCCAAGTCAAATCGGAGCCTGTACTCGACGTTCATGTTCTCCGGCACAATATTCGGAGGTTTCTTCGGTCACATTTTCAGTGGCTTGGTCATACCGTTGGTGTCCAACGACGGAAGTTTCTTCATGCTTTCCGTCTTCGGGTTCATCTGGACCGCGATGTGGACGACCATGATACACGTGACGCCCTACGAACGTACCCATGATGCCAGCAACCACTCCATGATGCTGTTTTCGACACCTTGGTCGACGATCCTCCAGACACCATCGTTCGTCAGCTTGCTAGTCGCTTGTATGGGGTAGGTAAACTTTGAGTACTGTTTCAATTTTCATTATTTTTCAAAAAAAAAAATTAGCGTTATTCAGTCTGTTCAGAAAAATAAAATGAAGATTGAAAAGGAAACGGTTATAGATACAATCCCAGATGCTCATTTAGGGAACAAAAGAGTGACATATTTCATTTTCCCCCCCTGGAAAACATTAAAACCTACAACGAATTGTTTTTCTTGGACCTTGATGCGAGGTGCACGGCGCAAAGCATTAATGATTATTGATTCACCCTCTTGTAATGGACTTATCATAACTCCATATAATTTTTTTTAAAGGTTTTGTATTCTTATATTCATACATTAATTTATATATTAGTTTTAAATTTCATGTTTTGAAACCGAATTTCAATTTGTCCTTTATCTAAAAATTACCTTAATGGCACTCATGGATACGATTGAGATTTAAGAGTGATAGATTATAATTATAGGTCTTATAGATTTAGGGGTTAAATTTTTGGTACGTAGGGTATATTGCATTTGCTTGCCTAAAATTTTGTATTCTGTATTGACCCGTTAGGAATAGCCATGCGGACTGCACCAGTGAACCACAAAAGAAAAAAAATTAATTGACAATTTCTAAGAAATTATGCTGTAGAAAATATTGATAATAGTTATCAGTCTGTTGATCAGTTTTATATTATAACCAGTAACTATTAACAATAGATAAATCATTACAGTTTAAAATAAATTCTATATAATTTATTCCTCTCATTAATTATTATACATAATATATTAGGTACAAAAAACGTATGCTTTTTGTATCTTAGTATGTATGCAGCGACATTTAAGTATTTTATGAATTTAAGACTTAAGTAGTATTGCAATAGTTAAGAGCTAAAAACTAATAAATAAATTAAGCCATGAATGCAAAGATGACTTTTTGAATATTAAATACTATTAAAACTCCCCCCCTCCCTCCTCATCTAGGGTAACTTGAATCAAAGTCTAAGCTCCTATGAATTGTATCAATAAGCTATTAATAATTTAAAATATTTTGAAAAAAAAAATAATGGCCTGCTCAATATGCGTAAAAAAAAAAAACTAAAATTACGCCCCTGTATAGATTAGGTACCTAGTTATAGAAAAATACACTTTTATTACGAATATGTCATTGTAGTAAATTTAAAATTAAGTATTCATCTTTTTTGTTTTTATCCAGTTGATTTATTTTAATTAGGTTTGTTTAGGTTATGTTAGTGATGTTAGCATAAATAAAGATTACATTTATAATTTCAGTTTATATTAAATACCAATATACTAGAGATAGAAATAACGGTATAAATAATTTTCCAATATAATTTCTTACTTAAAAATTTGATATAAGTACCTTTACAAGTTGTAGCTTAATTTGCATGTCTATGTACCTACCTAATTTCTATATTATACAGTATAATAACAAAATGTGTTTTTGGAAAACGACACTTTCGAGTTACAAATAAAGTTAATTATAAATTATGTATTTTCAACAAAGGTCTAATCCAATCACACTCAATACACCCACAATCTATACTTATTTACATTGAACGGTTATTACATTTTAAAATGACAGCAAAGAATTTGTAAGTTCACTTATATAGGAAAGTTTTTAATCAATTTCTCGTTTACTTACTTAAATACACATTATGAGTTCCGACCGCAATTTATTATAATATAAACTTACAGATATCCACCGAGCCTTTTGTTATTTGTATTTTTATTGTAGTATTAATAACGAATGGCCCAGATCTATAATGGACTTTTCATAGTATTGTTTTTTGACGGTAAAAAATTGACTTGGTAACTTCGATATACCCATTATTGTATATCGTTTGATTTTTCAGTCTTCCTGATGTTATTGCCACCCAAAAATTCTTCCCCGTTCTTTTCTGACTTCTGTTTTCACATAATCATGCAAAAAAAAATAATTTTGTTTTTTGCAGATTCGGATATTTATACAGCTTTGTCACTACCGCCATACCGATCTACTTTGCCAAAATCTTGGGCGGTGACTACATAAAGAACGGTATTTCTGTGTCTATTAATTGGCTGATCTGTTGGTTGACAGCAATATTCGCGGGACTATTAGCCGCGTCGTTGACGAACGTTAATGACACGTCGACCAAGACGATCGTCAGAAAAGTATACGCCGGTATAGTGCTAATCCTGTCGCCAATGATGTTGTTGGGCGTTATGTTGGCCGATTGCAACAAGTCGTTGGTCCAAAATTTTCTCAGTATGTCCGTCATACTCTTGGCCTTCGAACGGGCCAGTCTGCGGATAAATGCTCTAGACCTGTGTCCAGGTGAGTCCGGGCTGAACATGTCTATGATTAGGTTGAAATAACTTAACCTAACCTAATTTAAGCAGAGGGGGAACATATTTGGTAAATATAATATATGTTTACAATTCATGCCCACACAGGGTATGCAGGAAGTCTGATAGCGTTGTGCGATGTGTTTTATTCGATTGGTAACGTAATGGATTTGGTGATAGCTCGGAATTTTTTCAGCTGGAACTCTTCGTTTTTGGCGTCTATAATATTGCCGATAACGTGCAGCGTACTATTCATCTTGTTCGCGTCTTCGCGAAACCAATGTTGGAATCCGCGATACAGACGTTCGTCTACGGAATAATGATAATACGAGAATATCCGTGAAGAGACATCATATTCCGGACTAGTTCTATCGGACATGCTAATAATTATTGCATATTCTGTAAGATATTTAGGAAAACGAATAGGTTTTAAAGCGCATTCGATTGATCCCCGAAAGAGCCAAGAACCACTAACGATACATTGCATATTATATAGGGTTCACAGTAGGTATAATATGTATCACTGTTTTTATTATTAATACAAATTCTAAGTATTGTATACAATAATTTCAATTCATTTTGAAGCTGGGTAGTACTATTATTACATCCATTTAACTTTACACCTATTAATAATATTATTGTTCTGCCACTTCAAATAACTTTCCGGAGACGTCCACAAACATTGGATATACGCCAAAACGTTGGACGGCGAAATTAACAGAAAACGCTTGTAATGAAATTTTATAAAACTTTATGACAATACCACCGTATTATTTATGTTTGGCCACGAAATATACTGCATTTTGGAATATTTCCAGGGTGGCTTATAATATTTTTACTTTTCGTTTTTTTCTTTCAATTTTATTACGAATAGGTATACTTATATTATATGTATATATATATATATTATTATTTTACCAAATAATCTATTTCGATGCTCGAGTGCCAGTAAAATTATTGAAAACCGCGCAATCGTTTCGATTCGTGTCGGTGTAATTGAAATTATCGTCGTCGACAACGTGATATTATTTTTAATTTTAAAATATGTCGCTAAATGCCGTTTGTCTAATACTTACATTTTTGGAAAAATATACGAACCAACTACCTACAGTATAGATAATATCTTCAAACCGTATTATATCTTACGTGCGGTATTTAGAAATAATATATTTATCAATTTGAAATTGAGCCCAGTATTTCTCTGGATACCACAGGAATGTATGTTGTCGATAAAACCGTTTTTATTAAGTATAATAGATATAACTACATTATGAATATTGTACAATAAAACAAACGAAAAAATATAATTTCAATTAGATTAAAAATAATAATAATAAAACTGTTCTCCTCGTTGAGACACTTTAATGAATATAAAATATTTAAATATTTAAAATATCTATTCGTAATAACTTATCATTCGTGCAATATAAATACAAAATAAATCAAAATTTGAAATGTTTTCAACGAATTTTACCTATCATACATTTAAACTTAAAACGCTTATAGTAAAAAAAAACAGAATTTCCGAATTACTGACGAAAATCATTATATAACTAGCTTGAGTCGTGTGCACGGTATTTTGTGACAGAGTCGAGTTTTGCATGAGCAGATTTTTTGTGAAAATCCTAATAAAGCTGATAAACCAAAAATTTGCTGTTCAAATTATGTCAAAAATTACTCATCAAACAAAACAAAGATAAATACAAGTCTAACGTCAGTATACAAATAATTGTGTTTATAATAATATATTATTAAATACAATTTAAAATTACATTAAAAATTTAAATAAAACAAAAAATTTAATCTAATTAAATATTAAACTGGAGAGTTTTTGTAAGTCAACTTTTCTATAAACTCTAAACGGGTTATAATATATTTTTCATGCTGACGCATAGTTTCATGGGTATTTTGATTTTTTTACCTTCGGGTTTTCCATACTGTGATACCATATTTTCAACTAGTAGAAAATTAGAAAAATAACGTCTCTATAAATATCATCGTAAGTGTTAAATTTTCTGTACATCTATATACAGTCATCCTCGCACGTTTTGCATACATATTTAATGCTCTAAAATGTGTTTACTGAGAAAAAAAACACTTAGCCATACATTATTATATAATAAAATAGCTCTCTGACTTCACTTAGTAGATAAAAAAAAAACACCTAAATAAGATCCGTTGACCTACATATTTAATGTATATTTTTATGTTTTTGTTTGCCATCAAAACATAATATCTGAATATATTATTAGGGATAATGAGTGTGTAAAATAAGGGCGTATCAAAAGGCAGCAACGTTTTTCTGAAGAATTGAACATTCTCTAGTTACTATTATTACAAATACTCACAAAAAATTAAAATTAAAATTAAAAATTTCTGATCTACGATTGTCTAAACTATAACATTGTAAATAACAAGTGTTTTAAACTTTTTTTCAAGGAAAGAGGAGGAGGGAAATATATTTTAAAATTAAATTTTCATCATAGGAATATCTATAAGTATTCCTATGATATTATTTTAGTAGTAGAGAGTGAAAATCATTTTAAACAATATTTTATAAAAAAAAAACAGATAAAATTAAATTCGAATTGTTACTTATGGATTACAAACGATCCTGGGTAGATAGACTCAATAATAGTAAAAATAATTTTTAACATCGAATTCCCAATAAAAATAAAATAAAAAACTAAGTAGTAATAAAACGACAAATTCAAAATGTTTTTCTTGGAATTCAAACGTTTTAATGACAATATCATAATATTAAACCAAAACAAATGTATGCTTATATTATCATGCGATTGTAATTTGCATATTGTTGTTCTATAGCAGTGGTTCCCAACTTTTTTGTTATGGCGACTGACATTAAAAAAAGCTGCCCTAGGATAATGAGAGTACAGCCACTATTGTAGGTGGGAAATTGGGAAGATAGAATACAGAAGGGAATTCAATGTATATCTGTAAGAAACAATGGACCATTGTTAACGAAAAAACGATTCTGAGCGGAGTTCAGTTAATAGTAATGCTTTGTCAACAATATATATGTTATATTATGGTAAAATAATTAAATAGGTATTATATATTTTCTTTAATAATACTTGTTTAATATTGTATCGGTTTTCCCGTTTTTTCCCGGTTTATCACATTTGCTTGGAAAACTTTCTGGAAAATCGAAAAACGGCTTCCTTAAAGTACCTTTTCAGTCAGATTTCTTTTCAGAAAAAGTACTATCATTGTAAATCGGAGCGAAATTGCTGGTAGAAAAGTTGTTCACAGGAAAAAAGAAGGCCATAATATTTTTTAACTAATACTTAAATTTCGTACATTTCAGTCGTCCTTTAGTTTTTTTTTTCGGTTTTTCACATTTGCTTATTTTCTTATTATTCTTACTAATATATTTTTTATTTTTTATATTTTATTATATTGTAATCTTTTTTTTTTCATTGTGACCCATCAAAAATATTTCACGACATAATATTGGACCCATAGGTTGGGGAACATTGTTCTACAGTATGAACTGAATTTAAATGGTAAAAATAAATATTTTTGTTTTTAATGAAATTGTTTGCATATTGTTAATGTAATCGCAACTTTTGTAAATATATCGGTTTTATGCGATTAAAATATTATAGGTATTATAGGTTAGGTAAAATCCATTTATGTACAACTGAACGATGCGAACAAATTCGCGTAGTATACTATTATACTGGTAAATAAGAAGAAAAAATCCGGACATACTTCGCATCATGGGTAGACCATTGTTATAGAGTTTTAGTTTTTACATTGAAACTAATGATACATACTGTTGCAATAAAAACAAAAACCTGTTCTGAGTAAAGTGCGATAAATTGATGCGATAATCATTATGTTTAAGTCGTGCGTTTCCCCTTGTAACCAAGATAATCCAGAAATCATCAAAACTATAAAACTGATGTATCGTTGTTTTTATTTCAGTTCTTGCGAATCTAGAAAAATGTTTCAAATAATCTATTAACATATCAAACGAAAAGTCCGCTTCTTTTGTAAAAAAAAAAAACTGAGCTTTTTTACTGACTGAAAAATTATTTCCTAGGGGAAAAAATACATCATATTAAAACTTATAGCTCCTCCGTTACACTCAGAATGTAAAAGTGTTATTTTCTTTACATTATTCATTACACCCAATAACGAATAACATATTATACAAATTGAAAACAATTTAATATTATAACATTTCTCGACTTTTATCATAAAATTAGTCAAAAATTAGGTGAGTATTACGAATTAACAATGGGACCTGAATTTAAACGCCCCAAAAACTTTCGAAAAATTCCCTAAACAAAAGTTTTTAAGTAAAATAATATTATTAAAAACTAACTATAAAATGCTCTGAAAATGAAAGAAGAGCTGAAAATGTAAAATTAAAGACTTTCATTTTTGTAATTATTAATTATTTGCGCCAGGCCGATGCACAAGTGTTAATAAAGATAAAATAAAGACGCGTTATTGAAATCATAAATAGAATGATTGACAATCTATATCGATGAATTATGGTACCTACTTAAAATTCATTAAAGCAAATTTCATGAAAACAATTCTGAAATTTGAATAAGGTATCCATTATTAATTCGCATAATGATTAAATATGCACTTAAAACGGTTTTAAAAATGTAAATAAAAATTTCACTTTTGTTACGTGAATTTATTTATGTGGGTATCTGGAAAACATTGTTTTATATCGCCAGTCTCTCTTTTCTCAAAACAAACTTCAAATTAAAATCTGGGCCTTAATATTATCATATAGCACCGATGAGCGTAACGTTATAAGCTCAAAAATGCATGTTTAGTATCATATTATTGTATTATTTTATTATAATATTATCTCTTTGTTTTTGTTGGCATTCAGTAAATATTCCAAATTTATTTATTTGAGCAAAAAATAAAAAAAACAATATTGCGGTATATACCCTCTAGTTACACATCATATAGACCCCGTTCTGGAAATCGTTTTTAGCGAGTTTATAATGCATGACGTCAACAAATTGAATATTTAA